ATTGTGGAATGTTATATGTGTGATTTTACCGTCATTGTGGAGTGTTATATGTATTATCTTACCCTCGTTGTGGAGTGCTATATGCATGATCTTACCGTCATTTTGGAGTGTTATATGTGTGATCTTACCGTCATTGTGGAGTGTTATATGTGTGATCTTACCGTCATTGTGGAGTGTTATATGTATGATCTTCCCGTCATTGTGGAGTGTTATGTGTGTGATCTTCCCGTCATTGTGGAGTGTTATATGTGTGATCTTCCCGTCATTGTGGAGTGTTATATGTGTGATCTTACCGTCATTGTGGAGTGTTATATGTGTGATCTTACCGTCATTGTGGAGTGTTATATGTGTGATCTTCCCGTCATTGTGGAGTGTTATATGTGTGATCTTCCCGTCATTGTGGAGTGTTATATGTGTGATCTTACCGTCATTGTGGAGTGTTATATGTGTGATCTTACCGTCATTGTGGAGTGTTATATGTGTGATCTTACCGTCATTGTGGAGTGTTATATGTGTGATCTTACCGTCATTGTGGAGTGTTATATGTGTGATCTCACCGTCATTGTGGAGTGTTATATTTGAGATCTTACCATCATTGTGGGGTGTTATATGTGTGATCTTACCGTCATTGTGGTGTGTTATATGTGTGATCTTACCGTTTGTCTTGGCCTGAATTTATATATATTGATATATTAAAATCCAATTGTAAAACAAATAAAGACAAATTAAAACCAATATATCAAGATAAAGGAATGCTATAGTCCGATATTAACTAAATACAAATATCCATATATATACTGAGATCTTTTTTTTTTTATAAATTATGCTATTTCATTCCATTCAAGACAACGTTGTAGAATTGCATGTTGCCGAAATGCAAATGTTGTTGCGTGCATTCTGTGATTGTTATTTGTTGGTACATCATCATCAATCATTGTTAGACCTACCCCCTCAATATTTATGGTGGAACATTGTAAATACACGTATATGTTCTCGATAAAGGATGTGTTTATTCCAAAAGTATGGAGCCCAAGGGATTCTGTTGTTTAGTGCGTTCGAGCCCATGACGTGCCATCTCACTACTGGCTTCACCGGTATTTGGTGTTCCGAAGATAAATGTTATTTCTAGAGTTCAGAGAGAATTGCAGCTCGGCAGACTGGCAGCTTCATTCAGTGACAAGATTTATCTTCATACATGTACTCACTCAAATAAATCTTATGTCTGCGTAATGTTGTACTATTTAACATGTATAGTCACTGTGTAATAGACTTAATGTATGTCCATTATTATCGTCTGAGGGCATGTTACAAGCAGATGTAGGGCACCATAATATCAAATAAATAAATATGTTTTTCTGTTCAAATTGTGTGCAAGTGGTAAAACAATATGCAGGCTTAACTTCTGTGTATTGTGAGACTACAAGAGTTTTTCGTACAGTTAGCCTCTTTATGTAGACATTTGGTTTGCTGGTCTGTATTCTGGTGGGTTTTTTTTATCTTATTATATTTACATATATGCTTATGAAGGAGAGACATATTTTTAACACAAACAGATGTTTATATTTATTTTGAAGTTTGAATGCTATGTCACATATATCGTCATACTAACAATTGATATAATGCATTTTCTTAACTGTTATCTACATATGTATTCTTAGAACAAAGGATATTTCGATATCGCTTGTGTTTATAATGTATTTGTTTATTCATTCTAAGAAATTGGAATTGGTAAAAATATTCGGTTTTAAGTATTCCCTAGGGAATGCATTGAATAATAACGTGTGTGTTTTAAATGTAATCCTGAAACCATCCTGATATTTTCCCTCTGTTTAAACTATGACATTTGACAATTGACTGCAGACAAATAAAGAGCAAGTGTGAAGTCCCCCGAGATCGCTGATGGAATCTTGTCCAGCTAGACCTGTCTCCGACGATAACGTTTCCGCGTTTCGCCTGTCCTGGGAAAATCCGTCCAACATTTGAATATTAACAATGCTATAGTCCGTGTATCTATTTCTTTCTCAGTAATTTTTTTCTTCTTCTTTCTTCTAGAAATTTTCTTTTTTTACTCGATTTGGCATAACATTACTTATGTTGCTTTCCATTTAGAAAGAAAATAATAATAATAAAAAAAAAGATAAAAAAAAAAAAAAAATAAATAAATAAATAAAAAAAAATTTAAGGGATATGTAAAATGATTATAGGTATCAGATGAATAATGACAATTGTGTATAACTCATTCGAAATGATCGTTAGTTTATCTTAATTATTTGTATATTGATTTAGAATTACTGATACATAATTCTAAATACAGAAGAAATGATAACGAACATTTGAATACCGATGCATGATGGCCATATCTATGGTAGATACAACAAATGAAAGGGCCCTGTTCTCAGATCAATATCTATGGTATATACAAAAAATGAAAGGGCCCTGTTCTCACATCTATATCTATGGTAGATACAACAAATGAAAGGGCCCTGTTCTCACATCTATATCTATGGTAGATACAACAAATGAAAGGGCCCTGTTCTCACATCTATATCTATGGTAGATACAACAATGAAAGGACCCTGTTCTCACATCTATATCTATGGTAGATACAACAATGAAAGGACCCTGTTCTCACATCTATATCTATGGTAGATACAAAAAATGAAAGGACCCTGTTCTCACATCTATATCTATGGTAGATACAACAAATGAAAGGACCCTGTTCTCACATCTATATCTATGGTAGATACAAAAAATGAAAGGACCCTGTTCTCACATCTATATCTATGGTAGATACAACAAATGAAAGGACCCTGTTCTCACATCTATATCTATGGTAGATACAAAAAATGAAAGGGCCCTGTTCTCACATCTATATCTATGGTAGATACAACAAATGAAAGGACCCTGTTCTCACATCTATATCTATGGTAGATACAACAAATGAAAGGGCCCTGTTCTCACATCTATATCTATGGCAGATACAACAAATGAAAGGACCCTGTTCTCACATCTATATCTATGGTAGATACAAAAAATGAAAGGGCCCTGTTCTCAGATCAATATCTATGGTAGAAACAACAAATGAAAGGACCCTGTTCTCACATCTATATCTATGGTAGAAACAACAAATGAAAGGACCCTGTTCTCACATCTATATATATGGTAGATACAACAAATGAAAGGACCCTGTTCTCACATCTATATCTATGGTAAATATAAAGTAATGAAAGGGCCCTGTTCGAACATCTATATCTATGGTAGATACAACAAATGAAAGGGCCCTGTTCTCACATCTATATCTATGGTAGATACAACAAATGAAAGGGCACTGTTCTCACATCTATATCTATGGTAAATATAAAGTAATGAAAGGGCCCTGTTCGCACATCTATATCTATGGTAGATACAACAAATGAAAGGGCCCTGTTCTCACATCTATATCTATGGTAAATATAAAGTAATGAAAGGGCCCTGTTCTCACATCTATATCTATGGTAGATACAACAAATGAAAGGGCCCTGTTCTCAGATCTATATCTATGGTAGATACAACAAATGAAAGGGCACTGTTCTCACATCTATATCTATGGTAAATATAAAGTAATGAAAGGGCCCTGTTCTCACATCTATATCTATCTTAGATACAACAAATGAAAGGGCCCTGTTCTCACATCTATATCTATGGTATATACAAAAATGAAAGGGCCCTGTTCTCACATCTATATCTATGGTAGATACAAAAAATGAAAGGGCCCTGTTCTCACATCTATATCTATGGTATATACAACAAATGAAAGGACTCTGTTCTCACATCTATATCTATCTTAGATACAACAAATGAAAGGGCCCTGTTCTCACATCTATATCTATGGTAAATATAAATATCTATGTAAATATAAAGAAAGGGCCCTGTTCTCACATCTATATCTATGTTATATACAACAAATGAAAGGACCCTGTTCTCACATCTATATCTATGGTAAATATAAAGTAATGAAAGGGCCCTGTTCTCACATCTATATCTATGGTAGATACAACAAATGAAAGGACACTGTTCTCACATCTATATCTATGGTAAATATAAAGTAATGAAAGGGCCCTGTTCTAAAATCTACATCTTTCAGTATTAAGTGTATTAAGGGTCACACATTATGTGACTGTTTTAAATGTCGCACTACATTTCTAAATCTTTTCGAGGGAAATAATAAAATCTGGACTGTCGGCAGATATAGGGATATGATAAGTGTCTTTTAAACTTAAAATATCATCTCCTATTTGTAAAGCTCTTGTGTGTCTATTACGGACAGAACCCAAAACCGCTCTTACAGGAAGTAAGACCAACTATGAAATACAAGTATGACAGCGATGCGTAAATGTTCCAGAAAGATCAAATATGAATTCAGTCATTCGTGAAATAAGATGGTTATGATAATATGCTAATATTAGAAACTAATAATGAATATGTTACCTGTACCTATTCAACCTTAGCCATAAAATTGTACCTGTCATGTAAATGTTTAGTTTGTTAAGGATATCGGAGCTTCAATATTTGATATTGAAATAAATTAAATGACTACCTCTATGATTAATATTAGATATACATGGAAGACAAGATGTTAACAAAAGTTGTGATGACACAAACATTGCACTATAAAGTATGCATATACACATTCAAGTATTGTCGCCATCGACAGTTTAATTATCTCACCTTAATTTGTATGACGATCCCAATGATGACCAAAGGTAGATATCCTGGTTCAGTGAGAAAAATACTTGTACCCTGGCATATCTGTCAAGACGAATACAGTCGAAACTCCTGGTAAATCGTCAAAACAGTATCCGTCAAAAAAATATCGATCTGGTGCGAAATGCACTGATTGTCGGTCTAACCAACAAAGTGACCAGTTTTGATCAAACAGTTCACAACAAAGTTGTGCAAAATCTATATAATATTTCTTTACGATCAAAGACAGACGAACACAAATAAAAATGACTCAGAACAACAAACAGTGAATTGTGTTTATTCGTTGATTCCTTATATGGTATGATACGGTGGCTACTGCATTACAAGGGAATGACGTAACAGACAGAGAGCGGTGCATGTACTAGCGGATCAAAAACGGTAAAAAATACCTGCACAGAAAATAACATACAGGGTTATGACATCTGCATAGAGTAAAGTGATATTTTCTTCAAGCATCTCAATTTCGGCTGATGCCCTAGTTACCGATGATAAAGAAATTCTAATAGTTATGCTGTTCGGCAACTTCTAACTGTATACATGATATTAAAAGTGCTGCTAAATTGTTTTCATTTTATAAGTAGCTTTTTTTTTTTAGTTATTTGCTTGGGTGCCTATGTACAAAAAAACAACTTGTGTTCAAAACAATGATTAGCCGTTTGTACTTAAAAGACATACAAGTGACGCTGGTATTATGTAACTGTACGTCGGTTCTGGTTAGAAGCTGTCATATCAATTGTTTGGAATATAAATTGAAAATATTCAGCCAGTACATTTCACAACATTTATATGGATTTTTAATCATAGGTTTTACCGAATTTAGAAAAGATCGTTAGATTTCATTAGAAAGCATCTGACACCAATCCACAAATATTTAATTCTCATAATAGTGTATTATTTGACTTAAGGGGTAGACGGGTATCTGTTGTATTTGGGTATACACATATATAGGTGTAAAAGTGTATGTTGTGGGATCGGAAACCCGGGTACTTATGACCTCAACCTACACTTTGTAGCTCGCTCTAACATAGGTATTCGTTGTCATGGATACTATACTGCCTCCTCCTGCAGCGGTCAGTATAATCCGGGCGCCTATCATGCGCCTTACGTGTTAACTTTGGCGCCTTCTGTGCGCTTCCTTATATAACATTATTTCAGGGCAATGTGCATCTAAAAGCATCTTAACTTCCCTTTGTTACATCTACTTACCTACATCACTAAGATACAACGGACTTTTTATCAGCAGCAAAGTAAAAGAATATATATCTAAAATACATTACAACATTATTTTATGTACGTATTATATATGTATGTATGTATATTTATATAGATGTATATATATATATATATCTTTGAATAGTTTACTCTCCGTGACGAGAAATCCTCTTTATAATATCCCAGAAGTTGCAGTTCATGTTTTTGTGAACGCCATCTCTTCGATATGAACTTATGGACGACTCCTCCAAGCTGTGGACAGATGACATCTATATGATTGATATCTCGTATTATGGTTATCTCGGTTATCTCGAAGGAAACCATTCATCTTTGTCAATGGCTGTCTGGGATATTCATAGAAGTGTTGTTTCCATGGAAACGTTGTAAACATCTATTTCCTTTAAATTCAAAATGGACTTTTGGCAGCTGTTTAGCGATCAATTATCACACATGTGAATTAAATTTGTAATGATTACATATATTTTTTTTTCTGCTCGAAATCAATGACAATGACATTCGTGATTATTTTCCTGATTCATCCAATCAGAAGCGTCCTCGTTATTTACTTCACCGTTGTGTTGGCGAGGTCTTTTCAGGTATGTACAGGTCGGACGCTGGAACAAACGGACATACATATAAATAACATCTATACATACACAACAAGTGTCGCTAGAATACCGTAATATGAAAATCACCTCGGATTTAACTCTGGGTGCAAGCAAAACATTAAAAGATTTAAACAACCCTTCAGAATTGAAAATTAATTGGAAGAATATCATAAAGGAGAAAGTTGAGATTCTTAAAGACTAACCAGGGAATTGGTCGGGACAAGAAAACATGTGTATGATGCATCATGAACGACGTGACAAAAAACTATCGTTAATCAACAATGCCTTTAAAATAAATAGGAGGTTTCTAAATGATTGTGCATGCCAATGATTATTTACAATGAAGAAAATGACGTTGAAATTATATTTGAAAATACTAATACCTAACAATATTCTTTTATAAATACATACAAAACTTTGATTCGCATACAAGTATACGGATACAATATAATGATAAAATTTCTATTTCACTGTCACGTTTAAGTTAAATGTTAATACAAATTAAGATATAAAGAACCACCGTTCATCTACGCAGACGGCAAACCCTCATGTCAGTAGAAGAAAACACTACTCATTCTCTATTGTGATTAGAAATGTAGCATTATTCAGCATGCTTAGAGTCCAGTGGCGGATCCATAGACAAAATTGAGGTCGGTGTCCGATTCTTTTATGAATGGCAAAAATTCTTAACGGGACAAGATTTGGAATATTTCAGATTCAAACGAACTCTAGATGGATTGAAGGTTTCTTGTGAAATAGAAATATCTATTTTGATCCGCCGCTGGAGTCTTAAAATCAACAGAAAAGAAATTTTTATAAAAACAAAAAAATGTTTCGTCGGTACGAGCCTGCACGTGAGCATATCTGATGACGTCTCAGCAGGAAGACTTATTCGATATCATGACGTCAGCAGCTTAACGTTCATGGAAGTGTTCGCGTGCGGTATGCGTTGCAAGGGCACAACAAGTCTTCACTGGTTCTCAGGGTCCAACATTTGCATGGCTACAAGTCCTTTCCAACGAAAAAAAGCCATCCCCGGATGGCAGAAAAACAACAACGAATTAGTACGTAAACCGTGAGAGACAAGCATTCGCTTAATTTGTTATGCAATATGTTGAAATATGGAGTGGATGAAGGTATCGAGGGAGAAGGGCGACAGCCTTGATTCTACTGCTTTCCAACTTGGGTGCTAAGCCATCAGTCATCACATTCCACTGCCAAGTCCTTTTCGAATATAATGAAACAATTGCGCGATAACCTCCCAAAGGAAACGCTCTTTGCTCTCTGGAGAGCAAAAAGACATATTGCTATGTAACATTTCTAGCCAAAGTCCTCAATTTTGAGAGTCAGCCAAGCTTTTCTGCAATGCTAAGCAAAGAGAAGGCCACTGAGAGCAGCAATAATATTGGTTATACAAAGGTTCCAGCAGCCTTCCAGTGCTCTCCTAACATTTTCTATAGCGCTAGCGTTTGCTATCACATTATGGACATAGAATGTTACATAGTCACGCACATGCAGGGCGGGGACAAAAGCAAGATACATTACTCTGATCCATGTTTCACTTTTGAAAGAATCACGATTGTTATTTGTTTTTGAATCCAATCTAAACTTCATTCCAAGCTTCGTCTGTTAACAAAATGTTTGAACGTGCGTTTCCGTAGTTAGTACACGGATGTTATAATATATACACACACAAAACATAGGGTAAGAATGATTTAAGTCTTTGTATATATATATATGTACTTACATATATATATCTTAAAAATACAAGTAAATGGTATCGCGTATACAACAACCAAAAGGCTACACAAAGAAATTTAAGCGTCAGACATGTCTGCTAGTACTAGTAGAACATACACCAACTTAACTTCGAAAGAGCTTTAGTGAGATTGGTGACGATTGTCTAGTTTTGTTTAACCTGAAACCAGAAGGGAAAAAAACGTATGCGTATTTATTAGTTTTAACAAGACGACGAACATATGCAATGCCAGAATTTGTTGCTGACAAGCTTTTGATATGTTAAGTTCTCAGGTTAGTGTCCGGATATGTTTATGGTGATGATCCAGATAACTGATGATATCCGGTTCTTGCTCCACATAAATTGTGACCCATCTGGTTCGCGGTGATGATCCATATAGATTGGTGTCTATCTGGTTCGCGGTGATGATCCATATAGATTGGTGTCTATCTGGTTCGCGGTGATGATCCACATAGATTGGTGTCTATCTGGTTCGCGGTGATGATCCACATAGATTGGTGTCTATCTGGTTCGCGGTGATGATCCATATAGATTGGTGTCTATCTGCTTCGCGGTGATGATCCACATAGATTGGTGTCTATCTAGTTCGCGGTGATGATCCACATAGATTGGTGTCTATCTGGTTCGCGGTGATGATCTTGATCCAACCAGGTAGTTAGTCACGCTTGTGACGTATCTAGTTTTAGTTCAGTCAGCTTCATGAGAAATTTAGTTTCTGTCCAGAAAGAGATGTGACATATCTGCATGTGGTTTAACAAGACAGACTTATGACGCATCTATTGCGGTATCAGATTTGTGACGGTTATTTTCTTAAGTCCAGACAGATTTGTGGCTCTCTGCCGCTCGGTGATAATGATCCATACAAATTTTTGACGGTTTTTGATTCAGTCCAGAAAAAAAGTAACTATCGGATTCTCCCTGAAAATGTTCCATACAGAGCTGTGACGGATTTCATTTTAGTCCAGACATATTTGTGACTATCTCACCCTCAGTGATAATTGTCCAGGAATATGTGTTACGTCTCTGTTTCTCCACACAAAAGCTATGCATATGATACATCAGATTTCGGCCCAAAATACATTTCTGACGGTCCATATTCGTGAAGTACCTAACTTTGGTTCGGGAAGACTTGTAACATTCTGGTTCGTATGTATGGTTTCGATAAGATATAGTAGTTCAGTGTATGATTTACGGTAAAAAAAACCAAGATGATCACATAGAGAGATAAATAACGCAGATCAAATGTGATATGATATAGACGTATTAGTAAATTGACCCGCAAGATCGTGTTTCTGTGACATGGCGAGACAGATAATAATGCTGTTAAAATACCCAGTATAAGAAAGTACCGAATTGCTAGTTTACGGTACGAAAGTTGTTTTTGCAATCATAAAGCAACGTCGCGCAACCATACTAAATTTAGTTTGTGTTAATTTTCTGGCATGCGTGTTACCATTCCACTATATAAGATTAAGGATGTTTTACGGTTTACAATGTTCGCGAAACGTATTTATGGTACGACCTTACCAAATTAATTTCTAATGTTACTAGCCGTCTATAAGGATCGTAGAGACTGTTAGAAACTATCGGAAGGAAGTAGAATAAACATGTTAATAGATAGAAAAAAGAGACTTCGCCGTCTCGTCCCGTCTGTCCGAACCAATAGACCAAATTATATAAAAATGTCTCCTAGCATCACTGTAATTCCTTGACCACAGCGCGTCCATTTACTTACCGAAGAAAATTATAACGATACCAATAACATTGACGACCAAGTACATCAAAAAGAACAAGCGGTCAGTTATACAACAGATGACCTTCCACTCGCGGATGAATTTCTCTTTCTGTTCTGCTTTGGCCTTCTTGTCTCGGTAGGCTTCGAGAATCTCCCGAATGATCCTGATATCCTCGGAGAGACTTGAGCGAATGATATTAAGTCTCTCTATATTACAATCTTTGTTGTTTTGTTCATAACCGTCTTCTTTTCCTTCGTCCAGTAATCTTACTTTGGCGAATTTCATTTCCGTTTCCGGAAGTTTAGACGTGGCGCCACCCGTGTACTTAATGTTCCAGCTGTTCTTTTGTGGTGGTTCCGCTTGCTTTTCGATCAGTTTGTCTCGGATCATGAATGCTCTGGCGACAATGTCAATCATGAACTGAAAAAAATAAACAAAACATATAGGTTATATATACATATTGATATTAACGTTACTAATTGATGTTTATTCTGAGAGGAAAAAAAGGCACTGAATTCCTCTTTCAAGGGAATTGTAGCAGTACAAAACATCCGGGTGGCTGCAACAAAAAAAAATAAAACAATAAATATAATAAGTAAACACATCCCGATAAGGCAAGACGTGTTTGTTTTTCATATATTTCCGAATTGAGTTGGTTTTTTTATCGCATCACATGCAAGTCATTGTACGTCCTTAAGGAGTCTTGATCGTATTGACACAAAGAGCATTTTCTTACGTATAAACAAAATCACAAGTACACAAGACCCGATGATAACTTTTGTCCTAGTTTCATTTTTAAAAACAAAATTTCATATTTCATTAGCTCTATATCACTTTTTTTAAAAAAGCAATTTGCGAGACTTTGCGACCAAATCTCAAACTCCAAGACCAATATCATAAAATCCTATACAATATGAAAATAACACCATATACTTTTTTATCACATTACTCCAGAAATCTAGTTTGACAGGTCTTTTAATCAAAACTGTCGTTTATAATGTCAAAAGGAGGCAGACATTTTGTGGCATCCGTTTCAACTATGACAGGCGCAAACAATGATATACGCTCGAGGATATATAACAATGGTGACCTATGCATAAAAATCTTACATTGATGTAAAAATGGTCGATCGTATGATAAGTAGTTTTTATACATTTGAGTAAATATCGGATGATTTACACACGTTTCTGGTCTATATTGCTATTTTGATTTTTTAAATATGATTTTTGCATTTTAAAAGGACCACGTGGGTCCACAAGAACAGCGATTAAAAAATATAGATATATATATGTAGGTTTAACTGTCTTATACAAGCACATCTCCCGGTATCATCGCCTTTTAGTCAACTGGTATTCATGACCATATCTTGGGGTTCTAGAGGTGTCTGGCTTATAAAGTGTATCTTGAACAGCTCGTATTGTCGACTCAAAATATATTTGGCCATATCAAACAACGTTCTGCGAATGTGAACAATGGTTACGACGATAAAATGGCCTGCTCAAGGCCGAAGCCACAGTGTACATCAATGCGTTAGTGGGAATCGAAAACACCGCCCGTGCAGGCAGTAGATTGGCACAGTACCAGCAATACTGTGCAGCCCTTTTAATCAAATACGAGCCCCTAGAATTAAAGATGCTGGTGTTTTTTTACCAGACATAAAGGGAGCGTTTTGGAATACAGAATAGCGGTGTTCCACCGTCCATATTTCTCTCTTTCCCTCGCTCTATCTTTCTCCTTTTCCCCTCTTCTCTCTATTTCTCTATTAAATGTACAAATACTTAGGTACTTTACGTTTATGAATATGTTTTTAAGCAGTAAATTACTATTATACCATAAAGACTCCGCTGTTTGAAAATCGATGATCACATCTCGTACACAGAAATGAAGATGTGATTTCTATATTCCAGAGTTACGCCGTCTTGTATACTCCTAAGGCTGCCTGTGGGACCCCGTAAATATTCCAGCTGGTTGTAACTCAGTAAATGGCGAAGTTATGTGGCAATTTTTCTCGGAAAAAGACGTATCATTTTGGCCCTTACACCAAAACATAACGGCACTTTTTACCAGTAATGTCTTTCTAACGTACAGTTGTCTTGAAGCGTAATCTAAACAGTGTTTGGTGTGTTTCGACGTGCTAGCAGTTACCAAGCAGAACTGATGTTTACAAGGGACAAAACACATTAGCTTGGTCACAAAAGCCATACAACGTTGATGGGTGGCAGCAAATGTCATTAGCTCACAAGTAATGTGAAAATATCATTGATACAATACTTTTCATACCCAGATAATATTATTATGAAGTCGTTAGTTACAAACATAGTTGTTTCTATAAACGCATGACTTTGTAATGCGAATTTCAGCTTTAACAAATGGAGATTCGATAATAAACAAATACTACGTGAAAAGATAAATTGGTCAACGGTTTTGAGACTGAAGACATGCACTTGCCTGATAACTTTTGTGTTAAAATAAATCATTTGGAGGTATTGGTGTCGTGAAAACGCATTTCGATTCTTTTAATATTAAGAGTAAACAGATTCAGCATAATTCATATGTCAGAAGAATATATAATTTGATAAAAAAGACAAAAAAAAAAAAAAAAAAAAATCACTAGATTTTAAAAATCTTTTTGATATTGCAAAAATGGTGTTATACTGGCATCATTTGAAGAAAGACATTACTAGGCAGTGCTAAAAAGATTACTATGATAAGGACGGACATGATTACACAAGGTGTGCAGAACAAAACAAAAACAGTCTTTATTGAAAAGTGTATAGTGTAACTAATATTAGTGCTGTCCGCTTTAGGAGAGACTGTTTTACAATTAAAAATAAATTGTAAAAATCTCTCTCTCTCTCTCTCTCTCTCTCTCTCTCTCTCTCTCTCTCTCTCTCTCTCTCTCTCTCTCCGTGTAATTTTGTATTTAAACATGTCGTTTGGTCTTGTCAAAATTTATAGGGAAAGGGCTTGATATTAGTTGAAATTGTTCAATAAAATATGCTTATATAAAAAATGATAATAAAAATACACTTTAAAATAACACAAGACTGAACAGGCGATATCAGATCGGTAATTTTCTTTACTACAATACTAAGGAGATAATGTACTGTACAATTTTTAATTTTCGTGGTGGGTTGTATTTTCGTTGCTTTCGTGGGTACTCTCAATCATTCATATAAGTAGATTGATTTTACTATAATTACCCACAAAATGAAGTGTCCGCGAAATAAGGTGTCTAAGAAAAAAAAATTAGGATTGATAAACCGTGAAATTTGAGCTCCACGAAAATGTATGAATTTACAACTTTCCATTGTGTATGAGATAAAGACATATGACCAATTTCATATCCGTGAGGTCAACGCACCGGAAATAGAACGATTTGTGTAGGAAGTAGTTTCGTGTTTACATATAGAAACATATCACAATAAGATTTTTTCATGAGAAATATTTTTTAAAATGATTACCAGTTGAGAGGAAAATGCCCATATTTCTATTGTTTTCAAGATAAATTCCAATTTTTCTTCGTCAATGAGTAAAACTATATGATGACAGTACTCTAATGCATACAAAGTACTTGAAATATTGAGGAATTCTATATTTCTAAGAAAAGTTATATCCAATTGATGTAACAAAGAGGTTTCGAATCAACACGGTGGGTGAATGTAACTAGGAGATCATATAACCAATAAATTATTATTTATCATAACCAAAACAGTCGTATTTTCACAATATTTACAATATGTTTTCCATAAAATATCAGAATCTGATATAAAGTAAGAAATTCACATATATATCACGCAAGTAGGAAACATCAATGTGCGTCGCTGAGTTTATATAACCCAATATACCAGTGTATATTGGTATTCTGACACTGCTTCGCAACACACACACCAAATTACTATGTAAGATCGTGAAAATTGATGTGTGTATTGGCATATCGTGGCGAGGCATGCTACACTTCACCACTGGCTACAGTATTAACCACATGGCATTGTCTAGACACACGGCCCCGACGATCGCATCCCATAATAGTTGGATAACGTCATAAAACAAGAATCCGAAATCTGGGGAACGCAACATGATCAAAGGATTGCACAAAAGACACACAAGTGAATGGCACAATAATCATTCGATAGACGAATCAGATACATTCAACGGCAGGTCGCTGCGAACCAAGCTTTTCCAGGAATCGTTATCATTACTACTACAGAGGAAAAAAACATAGTTGCTAACCACAGCCAGCTATGTAGTAGAAATCAAGTAACACGTGAACTAATTACATTTAAATTCTCAGTTCTTGAAGAAAGAAAGAAAAAAAACTAGGGCAGAGTGTTAAGTAATTAGACGGTGTAAGGTACGGTGACACCTCCCATGGCACGGTATAGGTGACGTCTCGTCACGTCCTGGCAGCTCGCGCTGTGACGTGTACCAGTACAGGCTTCTTGCACAAGCTCGCTGGCGATTAAGCGGGGGAGAGGTGTGGAAAACGGGTTGAAGAGAGGTGTTCGATACGCTGAAGTGATTAGCAACAAACTCCTAAAGGCGAGAAAATCAAGGCAAAATAGAATGAGACAGTATCACTTCATGATCTGTATCTATGGTTTTAATGACAATTCTCTTCTTCGTTTAATGGTGTTATTTAGTCAACTAGCACCATTAAAATTGGCCAGGAACGTAAATCTATAATGGTTAGATTCATCCTCGGTACTGCAGGGGTTACGATCACTTTCGCTCTCTGCACCCCTTAACCATGTCAGGGCAAAATTGAAGGCACAAGCTAAGTGATTTGATTGCTTACAGAAGAAAAAAAAACTGACCAATCACAAGCTGCTACGTTCCTTTTGAAGATTACAACTTCAAATCCATTACAATGTACCGTTATGCGATCTCAAGATTCGTTTAATGCATATCAAAGGTCAAAATTAGTCTTTTCGTCTTGTTCAAAAGGTGTCACACACGGAACCTTTAATTTTGCCATGATATGTTCCAGAGGTGCAAATAACTACCGTGATTGTAACCCCTGGAGTATCGAAGATGGTCTAGATGATGCTCGTGTATATGCTAAAGTGATGCCTACTGTGGTCAGTATTTTTTACATATAAAAAACTCAAGGTTAATATGTATATCACACGTTTTTCTGCATCGTTTCAATAAATACTGTAACTCATTTGGGACTTTGGACTCACGATTGGTTTACAACATGCACAAATTATCTGCATTGGAATGAAATTGAATTTCATTGGAAAACATTAAATATGACTATATACACTACCTGATTCCCTAATTGGGAAATCGATCGCGTGATCCATGTACAGAACAGGATACGGCATTTGTTCAAACTTGTAATAAGTGTTGTTGGGAATAATACGTTGATTGACCTACGCTGCTGCGTTCCAAGCAAGGGAGATTACCCGTAAGTTATATCAAAATTTAGTAAAACATTGTGTGTAGGGTAGATCAAAATATTTGAGGAGGCGTTTACACTTGAAGTGTCATTGGTAAAAGTTAGGAGAAACTTTTTGATATTTAATAAACGAATTACGTAAAACGAAGCCGTATATAATCAGAACACTATCATATGGAAATTTACACGTGACCTCTGAAGAAATATTTTTTCATGGTAGACAAAACAAGAACATATACATCATTCAAACCCATGTTCATTAAAACTAGGGCAAACTATTAACAAAAGAAAGATTTTAGTCGTAAACTCATAAAAATGTACAAGACCAGGTGTTCCAGAAGTGGAAGCGTCTTTGCTCCATCAACGACCACGTCACTCGCAATGTCAATCGTGGTCAGGCCTTGTAAGTAATGTCACGTTCTCAAATGAGAACAGGGTATAAAATCATGGAACCAACATATAAACTACCACGATGTAACGAACAAGAATTCAAATAGAAGAATTGTGTGTATAGTTTTTTTTAATCTCTGTAAGATTTTCCCCTGAACGTGATTCATGTATCTAAAGTTTAAAACATAATAGAAAGAATACACGAACTCGTCATGTTATAAAAAGTGGAAAGTGAGATAACGCACCACATTTTATGTATTGATCTTACCCTGTTGTCGTGAAAGTACAAGTTGTGTTGCTTTTCAGGCTAGGGAGATGATTCTTAAGTTTGATTTCAGTAAATATGTGGGTAGTGAGGGTTTCGACGTATATATTTGTATATGTGGTGTTCTGTATTAACTGACAAAATGTCTAGGGAAATCCAGAAGTATGCTGGGAGAGTCGACAGAGTTAAGAAACATTGTACAAAGCAATGTCAAAGAGTTACGTGCCGGTTGTAACAATGTTTTTGCTATCTGACGTATATAATTATGTATTGTGAATGTGGAGAGCAAAATGTTAAAAAATATTAAGACAGATAAATTCAGCAACTTTCAATTACAAAATGTAATATCTGCCTCCGTTGGTATAGATTCAAACATACCAAGTGTGTCAACTCATTGTCAATATATCCTTTGTACCATTGGTAGTAATACAAAACTAAGACAAAAACATACTTGTTTTGAGCATTTGCAATTTGCAGTCTTGAAAGATGCATGTCGGAATTACAATCAAACCTATGACGCCTGGACCTATATAACATTTTTAAAGTATTTTTCTCCTGAAATCTATTTTATCCTGAGTTTCGACTTTATATTGGAGATATGTGATAACATGATAATGGAGATGTTCATTTGACCTTCCTTTATCTATTTTATAACAATCGTCTTTTGAAAATCAAATCAAATCTCGATTTGATATTTGATTTTTCCTCCGTGTACGCCAGTTATTTTTATATTGGTAAGTTACATGACAAACCTGATGTTATATTGTGTATACTAACCTTTCTTAGCCAGGCGGGAGCCCTGTTTATCCTCACACCACGGAAAAACATATTTGCCACAATTGTAGAGAGCACAGTGGACATCGTAATCATCACCATACTCAAGCAGAAATATGCACCTGTAACATAAACAAATAATATTAGCATATCTTCGTTATTACTATACTAAGGTTCAATTATACACCTGTAACATACACAAATAACATTAGGTTATCTTTGTTATTATTAAACTAAGGTATAAATATGCACCTGCATCACCAAAACATGTAGATATATCTTTATCAATTATCATCATAAACGGGTTACAGTAATCTTTAAATGTCAACTTTGCGATTCTAAGAGATGTCAATATGTTGTGCAAGATTTTTTCAGGCAAATTCAGAAATCCATTTCAAACGGTTTGAGAGAGATGGTTGATCCTCACAATTTGAGTGAGTCCCACAGGAAAAGCATGATCCCAGGACTCAAAGATCTGAGTCCCTAAATTCATTGATTGCGCATACTATGAATAATTCATTTCCGTGGGGTTTTGTCTTTATCGATGTTACTTTGAATCCCCTTTTTCATAATTCCTCCAATAAATAAACTGTTATTAATTTGTTTCTTGAGTCGATCAAAGAAATTATATGTCCGGGGAAACTAGTTGTTTGGTGATAATTGTTTTAATGGAGAAAAAAAAGAAATACAAAAACCAAAAAAGCGCGACATCTGATTTCTGAAAGTAGACCGTAACTGATGGCAATTGCACGATTTAAATATACAATCTGGGTTTATAATCTTAGAAAGAAAACTAGATGTACATATTTCTAACTGTCTTATCACTTCAATGAAGAGGTTGTAATTATAACGGTCAAACAGTTATATACACAAATTGCGAAGTTGAGAAAGCAGGATGGTAGGAAAATTAGTAAAACATTTCCTGTCATGTTACGTCTGAAATATTTTGAACCAATTTCTACTAAAAGAAGTTTAATAATCAGCTGTGTTACAACACTTATATGTCAATGAACTGTGCTTTCCTATGCACCAGAGCTGTCGACAGTGTCCAGAAAGAGTAAAATTACTTTGCTGCAATTTTTTCCTTCATAGACTTTTGGTAGCCTTGGAGTTTACGTGTTACGGCTATTTGGACGCATATTAGGTGTAGTCATGAAATTGTTCTATATGATTGAAGCATGAGGGCTCGGAGGTATTGTCTGGTAATCTGTCTAGATTATAGTTTGTTACTTCCTACGGGCCGGTGTGTACATATACAACAGAACCGTAAAAGTCAGAAATATCCTACTACGACCTCCCTCATTGCCCACAGTTATTTGAAGTCCCAGAATGTGTGTTTTCGCTCCTGATGTAGTATGGGTTATTTCGTGCCTTCTATGCAGTATTTCGTACTTTTTACAACCTATGCTTTCCAGCCCGAACGTGTGGTCGTGTTGAAAAAATTGTTTGCCACTTAACCATAGGCTTACACAAGTAGTTCGTATGAAAGATGGTCCGTTTGTACATTGTACGACCAAAATATTGGTTTATACAGCCAGCAGTTGGTATAGACCACTTGACCATACAGCCCTTATCAAGGGTTAGTTTCTATGGTCCTCGATTGTTATGAGCATATACAGAGACGATTCCTCCTACAGACATATACAACAGCCTGTATACACGTACAGTGCTATGCAATGTGTTCCGTATCCATTATTGACCTATAAGAATGAATCGTTAGCTGAGCTGTCGTAATTCTGTTGGCGTACTTTTACCGATATTACACGACAGCCTTGCTTATATTTACACATTAACCCCTGTGCATGCACACCAGTTGTCTGGTGACACGCCTATAGTCGCAATGCTGTAGTGTTACGGGTTATCTTAAGTAATGCTGGCAGTTGCTTTTCGCTTAATCTCGGCATATATCGTAGACACCCAAAAGCATGGATCAATAACATTATATTTGTTTCCTGTTTTTCACCCAGACAACAAATCCTTACATGCTGTTGCATTATCTGCCATTTTGTCCTCGATCATTGCTCGTCTCTCTATCCTGCTTGACATTATAGTAATTCGAGTGTATATATTGACCAGTTTAAATATTAGCTCTGTTCTTTCATTTCACGAGCTATGATATGCACACCCTTGTATAACACATATTCTACATTCTTCATAACCGTCAATCCATAGACTCCTATTTCTTATCATCTTTTCCCATGTCTTATTCCCTCTGGTATGACGTTCGTCTATCAAAGGTTTTGGTTCAATAAAGAAAACAACAATACAGGGAAATAATGTACGAAAGGGCGACTATATAAAAAAAATAACGATACACGGTAACAATGTACGAAAGTGCGGCGATATATATGTCGGGCACACAAGCGATCTTTCCATCTGACGTATCACCAAGCACTGAACTCATCAGACGTCCGGTCAGTTCTCCAGTAATATCACTTACGGAAGTGAATAGTACTTAATAAGGAATATTGCTGATCAATTCCCCATCAAAAACGCCCTCGACGTATGATTTACAGGTCCTCTAGACAGCCTATTTACAGAATGGAGTTTGCTTAACAATCGCAGTCGTGTTCAATACCAGAATTGCGCGCCTTGTCAGTCAGTAACAAGGGAAAGGATTTCATATATTCCACTGTGCATGACCTTATGATTCACGTTCGTTGTAATATAATAAAATGTGCAGTTCCTGATATCTCAGTAGAACGAAATATGTTAGTTTAGTAACGAGGCGTAATATATTTTACTGTCTTTAATCTTACATCGTAACATGGAGTCAAGGTGGTACATTAGGGAATGCGATAAAACTGAGGCTAGATTGCGTAAAACCATCAAAACTATCAAAACACGTATATCTGTATATTTCAAATTTGAGACGAAATAAACCTACAACACGGTTTCACCGGCAGACATTTTACACAGAATATAAGTGCACCACACCTCTGTTTCATTGTGTAACACTCAGTCTATGCAATACGTCATGTCATCGTTGGATTGCACTGATAGTCAGAGTGCATTGAATCCCCGTGATCATTCATTAGAAGTGCAGTACCATGTATTTTACTATATATAGGACGATAGAGGGTGTCCCTGTGGTGGTGGCGATGGCGATGGTGTGCGGGTTTACCAAAACAAACGCACTCTTTGTCTAATTATAGCTAAAGTTCATCGTCATTTAAGAAGTGGTATTTTCGTATAATAGGTAGAGAGACAACTAGCTATTGATTTTAAGACATATTTTCAGATAATTCTCAGGGAAGAGAGACCAGAGGGATAGTGAACGCCGGTGTCTGTTAGAGATGGAACGTAATTGATAAAAAAGATGTGGAAGGAAAACAACAAATAATTGAAGTGTGTGTGAGTTCTGTGTATATTGTCAGCATGGGACTACGGGTTGGGCTGACAACCTGCGACATGTTACCGATAAAGTACTTATCGAGCGTCAGATACTATGTATACTGCTGGAAACGGCTTGAAATAACTCCACGATTTTACCTACATTATTTGCAAGAAAAAAATGGCTTAGATTCACAATGTTATCAAATTACCCGAATGAACAGGATAAATTGCTCTTCAACAATGCCACTCATGAGTGAACAGATATATGATAAAGTTGCTTGTCCTTATGTTACGTCAACTTGTAAAGAGAGGCGATGTTTCATTAACGTGTGTGATGTCAGGTCGCGCTCAGACAGAGTTGATAAAGTATTAGTCACTGACAAAATCCGAGTTTGACTTCCGAGTCGGACATAGGAACAAATGGGGTTACTTGCCTGACGATATGGACCCGAGATTGTTTTAATGATACTCTTTCAAGACCAGCACTTGTGATTAACAAAAGTTACCGCATTTGAGCATCTTCAAAGAATAAAAGTTGACGACTTGTCTTCATTTGTAAAGTTCTGTGTGAATTGATGCAGTGCGTCCAGGTAATACGTACCTATGAGGGGGATGGAGTCAGCAGCCTTTGGGGTGGAGTCAGCAAGCAACAACAGCAGCACGAAAAAGGCAACAAATACGTTCATTCCTGTCAACAAAATATGTATGTATGTAAAAATAAAACCATAATTAAATCGAATGTAGCAGCAAATTAAGAAAAAATTAGTTTTTTTATCATATCTCTGATGAGGCTGTCAAATAAAGTGAGATTTTTTGTTAAAAAATAATTAACAAAATTTGGCTATAAACATTTCACTAACGTTCAAAGTAAAGGCCGTGTTCCAACATTAATTCCACTGTTTATGAAAGTATCCTCTATGGAAATTACAGGACAGTTTCGGACATTAAAAGAATACAATTAAGGGAGGGGGAATCGACGAGGGCAGCTATTTATCAGCATCGATATCTATACATTTTATCTTCTATATCAATCGTACATGGAACTCGTAAAATGCGTCGCTTCCGTTGATGCCTATACAACAAATGTATATTGTATATCGAATGCGTATTATGATCCCTGCTACCAATGCCTGATTACACCTTATATTGTTCAAGGGTATATATACACTGCACCCGTCTCACCTATGTTAAGTTGACTATTTGTCCTTGCATGAAGCTGAATTAAACAAAGAACTTATCAAAACAGATCTTTCAAAGATTTTCGCAAAGACCTTTAATTTCACTTTCAAATGTATTAATAACGTCTTGCCGTTAAATATTAAGAAATTTCTTTACAACGTCCATGGTATATATCCACCAGAATTGGAAATAAAGGATGCGACATACTATTCTACATCAGCCGCTTAAACCGACCTGGACAGCTTTCCACCAGGCTGCATAATAAGCATGATGGCTTTAATTTTCCTTGAGTGAATTTTCCATTTCTGTAGAGCAACAACTTTGCCTTCCAAACCAATGTTGTTTGCATGTCGGTGTTTATTTGATATTCAAGGGACTGTTTCCAACATCACCATTTTCGTGAAAGATATCGACAACTGAGAAAACCAATAATAAAACAGGGTTTCGAAATGAAAATCATGGAGACGTTATAGTGGTCTCATTATGAAATACTCTATGTCTCTGCGTGATATACAGCTAGACGCCTTTAATGTTCGTTAGTTTGCCTGTTGGTTCCGTTGTATACCTTTCCCTTGTTCTCATTTGGGGAACGTGACATCACTTGCTTGGATTGACCAAGATTTATATTGCGGGTCTCGGCGATGAAGCGGTAGACGTTTACTCTTCTAGAAAAGCCAGTTCATGACGTGCATATGCAGATAGCCTATACATCTGTGTTTTGTTTGAAGCTACAATTCTTAATTCAAGATATTTCACACACTTGAGACAGAATGATAAAATGAACAGTAATTCCGTCGGACTAAGTAAATTAGTATTTCTTTTAACCGAAGCAATAAATCCAAAGCACTTTCTATAAATTGCGTTTTATGTGCAATTTAAAAGTTAGAACTAGTAATAACTATCCCAATTTAAATTTTAGGACATTTTCGAATTGCACGTGAGCACGCATCATGGCTTACGATGTTTATTGCGATACACGCTGCTATGTCGTTTAACTTTACCGTTGTGTATTTAGACAGGTCAAAAGACAGTATTTCGTATCATGATTTTATGACTTACATTTCCGCACATTGTAACCACAAAAAAAGTTAATGCACGACCAAGAATAACAATGTGAAATACCAGTATACATTAATGATCTGTTGGTCCGTAAAAAATATTGTGCGTGCTTTGATATATAGAATTGTCAAACTCATCGTACAGCTGGTTATTGATATTTAAATGGTAAAATAATGGTGTTGCGAGGTCCCCATACGCAACCCACATATTTTTAATGTTTGGCGTAAAGCATAGTTAAAGAATGGTGGATTGGATTAAAAATTTTAAAAATGGTCTTTAACGATAATTCCGTTACCGCAAACGCGAAAGATATATGACATAGCCCAGCTTGGTCATATGGAAATCAATGACGTAAGAGAAACGCTCTCTGTTGGCTGAAGTGGCTTTAATTACACCTGCAGTAATGTGCATGTTGCGTGATTTCCCAAGTAACTTGATTTACGAAGTATGCATCTCTCGATCGGATTCAAATTAGGGTCGACGCAAAAACCTTTCGATGAATTCTTCTTTGATCTAATTCCGAAATATTTTCACGGAATTTTGTCAACAATTAGTCGCTGTTTCCTGTTGGCTGTGATTAAGTTAAGGAAGAACTACATGGTAAGCATGAGTGGAATTTGCATATAATTGTAGACAAATTTCTGTACACGAGTATCGTGGTTAAAGTTGAAGCTTTGCAGTTGTAGAAGATGACATTTGAAATGGACGTTTTATGTGAATTCGATGTTTGAGACGCGCATCGTGCACACGAAATCAGCCAAAATGTAATATTCTAGGGACAAATCCATATTCAGTAGTGTTCTTCAGCATCAGAAACCGAAGGCCATGAAAGTACCACACTAGTTTATTACGGATAATTGAATTATCAAAAATGCTGTACATATACTTGAGAAGAATAATAACTATTTGTGCCGAATATAAGACAATGCCTAGATTTCTTGTCATCATTCAGTATCGGGTACGACAATGAAATACTAGTATATTAACGATAATAATATAAGCCTGAATCATTACTCTAATTTAATCGAAATTATTGTTCGGTTTAGAATTCAACCAAGACATTGTGAAGGGGTTGTCATTGTTGGAACTGAGTTTTGAAAGAGGAAGTTTAAGGGCTGTCCTTTCTGAACAAAAAAGAAAAATAAAAATAGAGTCAGGACGGCCATATTGTTTGCATGATCTTGTCTCGATCTTCTCTTCGACAACGTTGCATTTGTTGGATTCTGTCTAGGTGTATATGAGTATTGGCAATAAAATACCCCGTCCGATGAATTTTCAAGAATTTCCTTGTACACATTTCAGTTGTTCATAATTTGTTCTTACTTGTTTGATTGTAATATCGTATAACGATTATCTGTACAATTGGAGACCCCTGTTTTCCCTTCTGACAGCGAACAGGAAAAAGAACACAAACAGAAAACCATTGTATCAGAACCAACCACGCTAACGCACCAATAAAACATTGATGAAACACATTAGTAGGGAGGCTGTCAGGTTTTTATTTGAAGCTTTGCATAACAATCTTGATCCCATTTGCATTTTCTAATATACATTTTGTTATCTTCTATTGTTCATATACATTACACGTGTTCAAATGTGTATGTTTCATTAGAATATTCCCAATCATCTGTAGTAATTACCATAGCATGTATCCTGGGAGATTTCACGTGAAGATAGCAAGCCTTTGGGAGTTACTTTTAAATGACAAAACTACCACCGAAGGCAAAAATGTACACCATTTGAACTAGGAACTAATTAGTTCCCTAAATATTGATAAGGTAAATTGAGTTATTTTGCTTCTTTGGTCTATATTGTGAAATGAGGTCATTACGAATTGCATTAACTTAGCGTAAATGTTTATGGTAAAGAAAGCAAAGGAGAAAAGATACATAGAGGATGGTTACAGACACCGTAAAAATTTTAAAAACCGGAAGTGAATCTCATTGTTTTTTTAAAAAGCTTTGTGTTAACTGTATCGAATAATTTTGTGAAATCAGGCATAATATCTCTCGTTCTCTTTTACGTATAGTCAAATTATTTGGGTCGTTGTGAAAACTAGACTTCTAAAGCATTGATTCGTTATAAAAACTAGACTTCTAAAGCATTGAGTCGTTATAAAAACTAGACTTCTAAAACATTGAGTCGTTATTAAAACTAGACTTCTAAAGCGTTGAATCGTTGTAAAAACTAGATTTCTAAAGCATTGAATCTCTGTAAAAACAAGACCTCTAAATAATTGGATCGCGGTAAAAACTAGACTTCTTAAGCACTGAGTCGCTATAAAAACTAGATTTCTAAAGCATTGAATTGCTGTAAAAACTAGACTTCTAAAGCATTGAATCGCTGTAAAAACTAGACTTCTAAAGCATTGAATCGCTGTAAAAACTAGACTTCTTAAGCACTGAGTCGCTATAAAAACTAGATTTATAACTCATTGAATCGTTGTAAAAACGGGACTTCTAAATCATTGCATCGTTATAAAAACTAGACTTCTAAAGCATTGAATTGCTGCTGCACAAATCCTGTAACTTCTAAAGCATTGAATCTCTGTAAAAAAAGACCTCTAAATAATTGGATCGCGGTAAAAACTAGACTTCTTAAGCACTGATTCGCTATAAAAACTAGATTTCTAAAGCATTGAATTGCTGTAAAAACTAGACTTCTAAAGCATTGAATCGCTATAAAAACTAGATTTCTAAAGCGTTAAATCGTTGTAAAAACTAGACTTCTAAAGCGTTGAATTCCTGTAAAAACTAGACTTCTAAAGCATTGAATTGTAAAAACTAGATTTATAAATCATTGAATCGTTCTAAAAACGGGACTTCTAAATCATTGAATCGTTATAAAAACTAGACTTCTAAAGCATTGAATCGCTTCACAACCTAGACTTCTAAAGCATTGAATCTCTGTAAAAACAAGACCTCTAAATAATTGGATCGCGGTAAAAACTAGACTTCTTAAGCATTGAGTCGTTATAAAAACTAGATTTATAAATCATTGAATTGTTGTAAAAAGGGGACTTCTAAAGCATTGAATCGCTTCACAACCTAGACTTCTAAAGCATTGAATCTCTGTAAAAACAAGACCTCTAAATAATTGGATCGCGGTAAAAACTAGACTTCTTAAGCATTGAGTCGCTATAAAAACTAGATTTATAAATCATTGAATCGTTGTAAAAACTAGACTTCTAAAGCGTTGAATTCCTGTAAAAACTAGACTTCTAAAGCGTTGAATTCCTGTAAAAACTAGACTTCTAAATCATTGCATCGTTATAAAAATTAGACTTCTAAAGCATTGAATCGCTGCACAACCTAGACTTCTAAAGCATTGAATCTCTGTAAAAACAAGACCTCTGAATAATTGGATCGCGGTAAAAACTAGACTTTTTAAGCATTGAGTCGCTATAAAAACTAGATTTCTAAAGCATTGAATTGCTGTAAAATCTGGACT